CTTTCACTGCTGGAATTCCCGGCTCGAGTAACAGCTGACGGAGAGGGTTGTACTCTTCGCGGGGCATAACTAACTCTTGCATATATCTGTGATAAAAATGGATTTCTTTCAAAAATATTGAAACAGAGTCATACATATTCCATCCCACTATCAGCAAGCGCAATGTTGGATTTAATAACGTTACGTAAAGCTACTCTACGGAGTCGTCTTAATTGACTATCGATCGCACGAGTTACGAATTAAGAAACCAATACGATAAGATACAATTTCATTGCACGATGAAAAATATAGCTAGATCACCGCAACGGCGCCATGTTATCATGCATGTTGCCTGTTGCAGATTGCTGTTGACAGTTTTTACTGTGGGGCAATACTGCTTCGAAAATTGCAAATGGCATTAAAAATACCCACGCCCCTCATCCCTTGTGTTGCTCCCCTCGCGCGATGGCGCGTGACTGATTACGACACTCAAGAGATATGTATCTTTACACGATCGTACCTTCGATCAACAATACCAACTACATAACGGGTCACGTACAAAATCATAGCTAAATACTGTCCACGTGAATATAAACTAAAACAGCTACATTTGTTTACTAAAGAAATGAGACAAAAAATTAAAATAGTTTAAGTTCAACCTAATTACAACCATCGCATCTAGTAATAGAGTCACAAATCTTACGATCATTAGTCACAAAAAAAAGAACAAAGCTATACAATACTCCTATCACTCGGAAATGAAAAGACATAAATAACATTTGGTGTGAAATCAACCTTAACATGTAACAAATAAAGTTCTTTTTCCCGTTATTGCCTTGCGAGCTACGTCATTTTGTTATGTTTCTGTTTTCTTCTTCGAATTTGGTCCAGGAAGTATTGAGTCGCGTTGAACACTAAAATAATTTATAATATGATCATAAGTAACTAGCTAATTCAATATATATCTTATTTATATATTTAATATATATATTATATATATATATATATATATATATATATATATATATATATATATATATATATATATATATATATCGTCATTCATATTGCAATTAGTTTTACGTAAAAAATTACAAATTTACAGGAGAGTAAAAAACAGCATACTGTAAAAAATCTTTTAAAACACCAAAATGTTTTTTAAATAATGTTTTCTAACTATTGTGTTCAATTAAATGTGCATTTTGAATTTTCCATAAATAATTATATTATGTTAGAAATTTGACATAGAACCTATTGTAACTACAATTGACGTAAAATTTGTGACATGTTACATATTGATATAGTGCCACCAACTTATCTGTTCAGGTGGACAAAATTGGAACTAAGGCCGCCATTTTGTAAATGACATTTCGTTGTCAGTTATTATTTATTCTGAGCTATCAGGTGAGTGTTTTTAAAAAGTGCAAATAAAATGCCTCTAAAGCTCTTAAAAGTGATGCGCGACAGATTATCCTAAAAGTTTTATCTTTTATGAAAGAAGAGAAACGTGTACAAGCCCCAATTATACCATTTGAAAAGCTGTATGAACGCGTTACTGCCGCGACAGGTTAGTATTGCCAGATATGGAAAATTAAAATCACCTAATAATGTACTTGTGAAACATAGTAAAAAAAATTCTCAATTTACTGTAATTCGTCTAAATTACCTAGCTTTGTAATTTGTGGTCTGTGAAGTAGCTATAGTGACGGCATATACACGGGCTTATATTTATTTAATTTTACCTATACAATAATTATTTGTCGTTTCGTTACAGGTGTTTCTGAGCGATTTGTACACAAACTCGTAAATGAAGAGAAACACGCTGAAGAATCAAATTCTAAAATTTCTACGAAACTAGAAGTTGATAATTTCGACATTGGTGTTATAAGAAGAAAAATTCACGAATTTTATTCAGTGAAAAAAGAAATTCCTACCATACCCAAATTACTGAGTATTTTAAAAGAAAATATTGATTTCAAAGCAGAACGTGAAACTCTTCGAAAATTGCTTCACAAAATAGGATTTCGTTATAAGAAAACAAAATCAAATAGAAAAGTGTTGTATAAACTTAACGACGTAGTTGCATGGAGAGCAACCTACCTACAAAAAATTAAAGAAAATGAGTGTGGTGAAAAAAGACCTATTATTTATTTAGACGAAACTTACATACATTCGTCTCACTCAACTGGGAAATGTTGGCAAGGTCCTGAAGAGGATGGCGATTTGGAACCTGTTTCGAAAGGTAATAGGTGGATCATAATCCATGCAGGTGGAGAAAAAGGTTTTGTGGAAAATGCACTTCTCGTATTTAAATCAAATACAAAGTATGGGGACTACCATGATGAAATGAATAGCACTAATTTCAAAAAATGGGTATTATATGAAAAATTACTACCTAATCTGCATGAACCTTCTCTCATTGTGATGGATAATGCGCCATACCATAGTATTTGCGTAAATAGGTGTCCTAATTCAAACCACAGTAAGGCTGATATGCAGAAGTGGCTTGTAGAAAACAATGTGGATTTCAATGAACAAATGACAAAACCACAGCTTTATGAGTTAATAAAGAAAAATAAACCTGCTCCGGAATATGAAATTGATAACCTGATGAAAAGTTATGGCCATGTTATTCTTAGATTGCCGCCTTATCATTGCGACTTGAACGCAATTGAAATGATATGGAGCTCTATGAAAAGGAACATAGCAGACAAAAATGTTAGAAAATCTAATGTTCTAATGCCCCAATTAATTGAAGATGCATTCAATAAAATTACACCGGTGCAGTGGAAAAACATTTGTAATCATGTGAAAAAATACAGACTAAAAGACGCGTATTTAGATGAACCCTTTATTATAGAGTGTCAGAGCGATAGCGAAAGCGATTCCAGTGACTCAGAAGATAAATTATTGGAATCAGTAGCTAACGCGGGTACGTCTTTCAAAACAGAAATTCCTGGAGTTCGGCCGCTTGAACTCCGAGACCACGACCACAATTATTTTTATAAAATATAAATAATATATATAATAACACTAATTCTCACTAATTTTAATATATTAACACGAAATTTGTTTTATTTTTGGTGGCACTATAGTTTATTTGTATGAAATAATACACAGATAATTTCAAAAATAAGGTAAAGTATTTATTCAAGTATTTATAATTAAAGTAGAAACAATCACAAATATGTATAGTTAAGAAAAATAAACAACAATATAGACGTAAAAATTTCTTGACAAACTTAAAAATGTTGTTAGCTTATAACAAAATAAAATTAAACTTATTTTAAAATTAAACTTAAATGGCAGGGTAAAATGAAGAAAATGATGTAACGAATGTAATTTAATTTAATAAAAATTAATATTTAGTATGCAATGCGACCGTTGCACACTATTTATTTCGTTTATGAGGACAGGCATCAGGATCTGAACAATTATGCTCTAAGGAGTCATAAAAAGGGTGATAATCTTTAGGAATCAGTGGTTTTAATTCTTGTAAATGTATAAATTTTGTTGTGTCAATAGGGAGAAATATTTGATAATGAGCAGTATCAGTTCGTGTGTAGTTTTTGTTTGAGCGTCGCGGTAATTCTTTGAAGTCGTCATAAAATTCCAACTTATACCGTATGATCCCCTCTGGATTATATTGCAGGCTTACAATATCAACTACAAGTGGATCGCCTTTTTTGTTTCCTGGTCGAATACTGGAGTATCTACCACCTTCATACCTGCTGAAATCACTGTAGCTTAGACAAATTACTTTATACGGTTCAGGCTTGCTTCTTGCGCTCTTTATTATATTTATATGGTTTCCAGGAATGAAAATATCTCGATGAGGTGGCAACTTTCTTTCGATGCTGCTATGTATCGAGTCGACCTCCATCTGTGTGTGCCCAACTTCGAGGTATTTTTGTTCGATGATTGTTCTTTTCAACTGATAATTCAATTAGAGCATTATACAAATTCAAGGATCGATTTTGGTAACTACACCCATCACTCCACAGGATATTTTTTTTGGTATTTGGGGCTTTTTCTAGTTCTGCCTTTAGGTGTTTCATCATAATAGACGTAAAGACATCACTGTCTAAGCCACCGCTTCCCTCGTGTCATAGATAGCAAATCACTTCTTTTGTTTTTAAATTATAGTGTGTGTAATTGTGAACTTTAAGTTTTGTTTTATAGTATACAGCTGATGCCTGGATTCTTGGGCATAGAAGTACCGCTTGGACATCCATAGTGTATACTAATACATCATGTTCAGTATTGTTTTTGTCATTATCTTTATTTTGTCTTGCTGTTTCTTTTTTCTTCAAGTGACTCCAGTACTCATCTTCATTAATGAATATTAATGAAGATGAGTACAGGAGTCACTTGAAGAAAAATTCATGTAGGCTAAGCCATTCTTGTAGGCTAAGCACTTGTTGCACTGGTCTTTCCTGGGCTTAAAAATAGACAAATTAAGCTTGCGATACTTCCTCTCGAACATCGCAACACAATATCGTCTCTTGTTGTTATTTGAACAAAACTTTTTATATTCAGCATACAGATCACCATGAACACTATTCCAATTATAATGGGACTCTACTTTCGGCAGAATGTCGAAAAATTCTCGAATTGAATCGGATGCATTATTTTGAGTCCTTGCATTACAATCATTTCCATTTTGAGAGATAATGAAACTTTCTGCCACATCTTTACTAGGAACATCCCAATCCCTCAGTTGTCTTTGGCCAATGCACAAAGTTTTCATAAACATTTGCTTACAAAGATAGGAAATATTTAAAATCCTTTGTTTTTCCTAGAATTTACGCTTGATGAACGTCGAAGCTGTGGTGCACATACACTTACTAAATTTCGGGCATATACTTTACGAGCTTCCCAAGAACTCAGTGCCCAATAAGAATCAAAAATCATTTTTCGGTCTTCTTCGGTTAACATTTCACATTCAAACCTTTATCTCGGTCCCCCATGTTTCACTTCAGTATGCCCACCACATCCTGCCTGTAAGCGTTTAGCTGGTCTTAATAGTATTTTCCATTCCTATCCTTCTCAAAACCTTCATATTGTTTACCTTGTAACCTAGCCTTAGAGTTTTTTAATCTCTTCCATTTTGTCTGATCTGCTTGACCCTTACGATTGCGTTTCATTTTGTGGGTATCCTTACGAGTAAGCACTCCTGTCTCCTCATCAAGAACCTCTGCGTTGGAGCTCGTACTTTCTTCTAATGCATTAGATTGAAAGCCAACATTACTTTCTTCTGGCAGGTAGTCTGAGTCAGAAGACGACCCTTCTTCGAACAAGACCTCTTCACTAGACGTGTCATACTGCTGCATAGTTTCATCTTCATGCAACTGGCCAGTAGCTTCGTTCAGTCGCTGCTGGCGTGGTTGTTGAAAGGAACTTGTAGCTAACTGCACTAACCGCCTTCCTCTTGTGTTATTCATCGGCAACAATCAACCACGAAGCCATGCATACAAAACCAAAGCAAAATTCAAAAGGTTCTATGTCGCGTAACTACGTATTACAACATAGGTCTTATTGTTTAATTGGTATTATTTACAAAAAGGGTAAAAGTAAACATTTTTTTATGAACAAAAGTTATCTGTTAATAGATTCGCATCACTGTATGTCTTAAGCACTTTACAGTAAAAAAATGCAGTCACAAAGCGGACTTACGGCGCTTTTTGTTAAAAGTATTTCTCATAAGTGTAATTAAAAGCAGGATATTAACGAAAACCACCTAAAACCAGCACACAATGATTACTATGATAACTATCAACTTACCTCAGAAACAAAGCACAATACTATAACTTAATTAATAATTTTCACTTGTTTTTTCTCAGAGCAAAAATCCGTTGCCACTCAAACTTTGATATAGTCTGCGCGGAAGTGCTAGTCATCGCCTTAGGTATGTGAGCGGCAGGACGGGGGAGGTAGATAAACATCAAGCTGACGCAGTCTGCCGTCAACCGCCGCGACGGTTACACGATTCAGTTGTACGCGACAGTTTTCTCCAAAAATACACGAGATAAATATTCTAAGATGGGTCCGCCAATACCACGACAAGTGAAAAATATTATTTATAATGTACATAGTTTTTTTTTAAGACGAAAGGGCGACAAGGAAAGTATGGAACACAAATATGATATGAACATTAATAAATTAGTAGCAGAGGCTACAGGAGTGTCTGCCCGCACCGTAATGCGAATTGTAGCTGAAGGAAATTCGAGTCTACAAACATCGGAAATTGCAAAATTTTCATCTCCGCGGAAACCTAAAGAAATAAAAAAGAGAATCCAGATTGATGATTTTGACATGGGAGTTATACGAAGAAAAATTCATCAATTTTATACTAGTGATAAGAAAATCCCAAGTATTCGTAAGCTGCTTGCAGTTTTAAAAGAAGATGGCATTGTGAACTGCGGTTGTACCTATTTACGACAGCTTTTACATAAGATGGGATATTTATTTAAAAAATGTAAATCTAAGAGACACATTTTAATTGAGAGGCCCAGTATTGCTGAATGGAGAGTAAGGTATTTAAGAGCTATACGGAAACATAGAAATGAAAACCGAAACATATATTATCTGGACGAAACCTACGTTAATAGTAGCCACACCTCCAATATGTGTTGGCAATCCGAATCTGAGCCTGGAATTTATGCTGATATTGGCAAAGGGCGTCGTTTGGTGATTGTTCATGGTGGTAGCCGAGACGGATTAGTTAACGGTGCCTTAACAATTTTCAAATCAGATTCGAAATGTGGGGATTACCATGGCGATATGAATGCCACAAATTTTCATAACTGGGTTAGTCACAAATTGAAAAATAAACTAGCTCCTAATTCAGTGGTCGTAATGGACAATGCCTCCTACCATTGTGTACAGGTAAAGAAAAAACCTACTATGTCAAGTTTAAAAAGGGACATGCAAGATTGGTTACGCGAACGTAATGTTGAATTTACACCAGATAATACAAAAGCCGAACTCTTTCATTTGATAAATAGAACTCAGTCCGAAAAAATTTACGTCATTGACGAAATATTAAAGGCTTCAGGTCATATCGTTCTTCTGATCTCAACCCCATTGAGCTTGTGTGGGCCGATATAAAGAACAATTTAGCTACAAATTATATAAATACTTCATTGGACGACAAAATTCCAATCATCACAAAATTGTTTTCTGAATTCACTCCGGGAAGATGGCAAAAGTGTGACGACCACGTACAGAAAATCGAGAACCAATATTGGGACCACGATATGAGGTTTGACAATGTAATAGACGAGTTGATCATAAACCTGGGAAACGATTCAGATTCTGAGGAGGATATGGAAATTGAAGACATGTATAGTAATGAAGAAGAAGAAGATATGGATTAATTTTGTGCTATAACGGATTTCGCTATAGAACTATAGCTGGTATACCAACTGGTCCACTAGCTTTATTCATGTCTAGACACCGCAAGGTTTTAATAACCTCCTTATTTGTGATACGAACCCACAGGTCGAACATAGAATTCTCGCAGTAAGGTAATTTAGGTTTAATTTGGGTGGTGAGTTTAGAAAACTGTTTTGTATTATAAATAATAAAATCTAATTAACGCTTTTAAATACGTGTTAATTTTTGTTTAGCCCGGAAAATATAAATAATTTACCCATTATGTTAATTAAGACAGTTTCTAACATGGTTATCCGGAGATTTATCTGTCCTCAAATATCTCGTGTGCGTCTTGTCAATCGCGTCCTCCCCCGTCTCGCCGCTTGCATACCTAAGGCGATGACTAGCACTTCCGCGCAGACTATATAGAACATTTGCCTGTATACGATTTACTGCCGAGTCGATCACGTGACATATTGCAAGTTTCAAATGCCACTTTCCTATTGGTAGATGACATTGAACCTTTATCGGTCGCGTTCAAAATTAAAATTAAAGCATACCTTAGAAGAAAAAAAAAATGAAATTTTCGACATTGAACAAATGCAATATGAACGACGATATATATATATATATATAATTTCTTTTTTATCAAACCAATTTACCTGAAATCCTGTCAATTTATTGGTTGTCTGGAAGAAATTGCTGTCAGCAATAAGATCGCCCATTGCATACTTTTAAAACGTGGTAGAGCAACGCTGCAATTATATTAGTAGTATAGTTGTAGAACTAATGGGTCGGCTCGACCAGGGAAGATAGCTAGGAAAGCTAAAAAAATGGTAAGTATCTATTGGAACTACACAAACAAAGACAAAAGTAGCAATTACCATTATTTAAAGTTTTGGTAAAAAATATTACAATACAAATCCACTTCATGCGTCTATGTTCTGTTTGCGCAAACAACACAAATGTTTGCGCGTGTATAGGTCAACATTGGCAAAACATTTGTAGGGGTGGTTATGATCGGTAATTTTGTTTCAAATATGATATTATTTGTTAGTTTAGAGCTTAAAATATAACATATTATACATGTAATTACCGAAAGTAAGACACTCCGGCCGTTAAATTACTTTTTCGGTCATTATTCTTGCAACTTTTAAATACACATTGCGGCATTGTGAAACGTGCTTATATTGGCTGTGTTTCAAGTGAACTAAACGAAGTAAAAGCTCACGTCTCATGTGCGATCGTATTTACTTAGATGGATTTCTTGCGCTGACCCGACATCTAGTTGGTATTGTTGATCGAAGCATCGTACGATCGCTATTAAGCATTTCTTGTGCTCGCGCGATGAATTGCAAGCTTCAAATAGGACACTAAAGAAATGTGTGTGTTTAATCTCGTCGTGCGATGACATCGTTTGCTCGTAAAATCATGGCCAATTAGGACGACGCCTAATGCAGAGAAATCTAGTGAAAAGTCAGACGGATATCAATGGATGAAGTTACTTAAGGCTATAATCAGTTGCATTCTGGAGATTTACATTGAGAAGGGAACTTGCCAATGAAAATTATGCTATCAATGATAATGATGGTGATAATGATGAAATAAAATACAGGCCACATACTGTGCATAAAGGCCGAGTCTTTTATTTATAAGCCCTAGAAGGGTTTCATTGCGGAAATAATGTAAAATGTTACCTTATGCGCAATCTTAAGGAACCCCATTCGCCAATAGGTGTCATGCCAGCTAGAGGATACCATTCTTCGACTTCTTCCCCGTTTGCAAGAGTTGCTAACTCAATTGTTAATTCCGCAACCTAAAAAAGAATAAACTTCAAAATACAACAATAAAGTGATACCTATAGTAAAAAAAAATAATGCTCACCTCTGATTCTTTGCCTCGTTTACCCGTATTATGTACTGTGATAGTAAATGAAGTGACATCTGGGGGTACGTCGCTGGAATACAAAATTCTCACATTTAGAACAAATAGCATTTAGAACAGAAAGCATAGCTAAATTAATATTTTAGAATCAAAAAGTATTTTAAGTATCTTCATTCAAACGTACATTTTTATTTTATAAACCACTTGTTTTTGCAACTGATTTTATTTTACTTTACAGCTTCACTAACATCTAATTAAAGATAAATGACGATTATGCCAATTGTTAGTTTAAAATCTTTTTTCATTAAATTATAAACTGTTGGTATGTAGTATCACTACTAAAGCTTCGAGTGGTAAAGTCGGCAGTAAAAATAGATGATCACATTTAGAACCTCAACACGACAAGTTTTCGTGACAGAATTAGACAGCATTATGATGAGTTTTCCCATGGGCGGAGAAACCTATGTTCATCAATGACTTAAGCGAGTATTCAGTGATAATTATGTTTTAAAGTCACATCATAATGCCATAGTTTGAGTATGGACCATACAGCAATTTTGACATAGTGAAGTTGAGTTTTTCATAATATACTGCTGAAATTACAACAAGAAGATGATTGTGATAATGCTAAGCTGACTTTAATATATATTTAATATACCATTATATAAACTGTTAGCTTTATCGCGTTAACTTTGTGATGATCTTTAGTTTGTGCTAATTCAAATGACATGAATAATTATGATTTTAATTCGGTTGTCTAAATCACTAATTCCACACGGAACTCATCATATCTTCTACAGTGCGGATTGGTACAAACTTGCTTTAACATGAGCTGGTTGTCTTTTATTACACTTGAGTCAATATCGCAGTGCGGGTCAGTGCAACCACGTTCCAATACGTGCTAGTTATCTAATATTAATATTATATTTACTCAAACAAGAACTCGTCATGTCAATGTGCGTCGGTGTGGACTTGCTACAATATGAACTAGTAGTTCATTGTGCCCACTCGACGCAAAGTAGTCTATTATTGTAGTCTGAACTTGTCATCTCAGAGTTAGTCGGTGCAGATATGGTTCAACAGTAGAACACGAGGCGCTATGTATGTAGGTACGTGTACAGTACCCGGCGATAAATATTGTACATAGACCTTTGGAAAGAGACAATCAGCTAATTTCTCTGTC